TCTCTCTCTCTCTCTCTCTCCCTCTCTCTCGCCACAACGAAAATTGCGCGAATGGGCACTGATTGCTTCCAAGAACGGATGGATTCACCCATCCACGCACCACGCGCCGCTGTACACGCTCATCCAACAGGGATGTTCTAAGACCCCAATGCCAGCGGCCTTGTCAGTTTGCTGTCCAGGCAGGGGCAGACCTACCACCTGTTTCGAGCGGCTCTCGGGTCATCGTCCGGACATCATGACTGCACCGCTCCATGTAAGTAGCTTCTGCCGCGAAAGGGGATGCTCCAATTCAGCAATGTAGGAGGCGTCCCCGTGCATGGCCGAGTCGTGCTCTTCGGCTATGGCCTAGATCAATTACCTCACCATATCGCCAACGACATCCCTGGCATGCGAGCGCCAGTCGTCGGGAATGACCTCGGACAACTTCTTGACGAAGACGATGACCTCGCTGAGGTCGTTCTCCACATCGTTCCCTAGTGCGACGACCAGACTCATGGCGATCAGGCCTTCAACGAAGATCTGTATCACACGTTTGGCCACGCGGAATCCGATGAGGACGAGGAAAAGTTGATGAAGACAATGCCGGCATACGTGGAACCACAACTCTCTTCGCTGCCCGTGCGGGCTGAAACAGCAGTCCATGCAGGATGTTCACACCACGACTGATCGCCGAAACGGCTTCTCCCGAACGGCTCCCTCCCCGGACAACCGTCGCTGCGCCGGCCGCCCCTTCCGTATGCAACCATTGCCCATACCGTGCCCGATGACACTGCCACAAACCATGTCACCAACCAAAGACCCCGCGCCCTGCGCCTATAATGGTCCCCAGCAATGGCATTGCACTCCTCACGCAGCTTTGCATCCCACTTCTGGGCACGAGGACAGCGCTTGGGGCTAACGGGATCCGCACATGCGCTCATATGCTGCCAGCGTTTCGCTGAATTACCCATGCATGGCTGGCCGTCGTCCCCAGTCCGGCGTTTTTTTTTTTAATTTGAAATTCGTTGCCGTTTCGGAAACCAGGGCCCGCGCAGGCCAGCCACACAACGGCTGACACAGGAACCGTGCGACAGGGCATTGCATGTCCGAGGGGACTTGCCCGCCCATGAAACGGTCCGCCGTGACGTCAGCTGGACCACGGTCGCTCGGCATCTTTTTTCCACGAGAGAACATGCCCCCCCCCTACCCGGTTGGAAGGCATTTCTGGAAAGGTCCTGGAAGGCCTCGCGCTTCGGTTTCCAGGCCGCCAACCGAGTAGAAATGCTTCAAACACCTTTCCCGCAACGTCTTTCCACGTTCTGTGGGGGCTGAAAACCTTTCCAATTCTGGGTTTCCATCCAATTTTCCAGATCGGTGGAGTCCCAAAAACACCATCCTGGAAAGATATTTCCAGGAAGCCGAGCAATGGGGCTCACCCCTTAGTCTGGTTACAGGTTGTTGGTATAGGCCCGCGTATTCAGATAGTACCCTCGTCATTTTTTCTAAACCCTCTCGCCTTCCGCCCATCCCTCCACTCTTCTTCAGCCTTCCCTTCCCCCTCCTCCTTCCCCTTGCCCTCACCCCCTCCTCCTCCTCCCATCTCCCTTCCTCTCTTTACCTTTTTCTGTCCAATTTCCCTTCTCCCCTATCCCTTCACTTATCCGGGTACAGCGCAATTTCCCAACCCAAGAATGTATTCCCCAACAATCATATAGGGTAGTACTTGTTCAGCTTAGAATTGGGTAGGCTAGTATAGATTTTGAAGTCCAGTTTTTAAAGGTTGATGACATTCGGTTCCTCTCGGTGTCGTAAAGAGCGAAACTGGCTAATGCTGCCAGAGGTTCGACCCGGGTTGAATTGTGGGGACCCCGGCCCCTGTTACCATTTGTCTTTTGAATACAAATAAACATCTCCTATTAAAAATAAAAATAAAAATAAAAAAAAAACTCACGGCGGTGTATCTTTCCATATTCTAGCAGAAGATTCACTCTCGTTTTGCACATTTCGAGAGTAGTGCAGCGAGGCCGCACCTGTCCGCCTGCACAAGTAACATACACACAATACAACCCCCCCCCCAAAAAAAAACGACCATCTATCTTCCGGGCCTCGCAACCAAAAAAAAAAACAGAAAAAAAAAAAAAAAAAGTTCGCAAAGGATTCAGTCAGTCCGCCTCCGTCGATCTCCCAAAAGGATTCGGTCACTCCGCCTCCGTCGATCTCCCAATGTAACGAACGGTTGGGTAACTTGTCGATGCCCTATGCCCACTTTAACCTATTTTTAAGACCTAGTTGTGCACGACTCTGCACGACAACACATCGGACAACAGTCGTCCACGACCCACATTGTGAATGCAGCTGGACAAATGTGGCTGCCTCGGTGCACTCGTCCCCACCCGACCCTAAAGCTAGGTTTTATACGCGGCCACCGGGCAAAACGCATCCATCTATACGCAGCCATTCCTGGCTGCGAACAACCAAGAAGGTGAGATAAATGAGAGAAGAATGTAGCTTACTTTTTATTAAAAAATAATAATTAAAAAAAAAACAATATCATAGCAGTGTATCTTTTTTTTTTTTTTTTTTTTTTCCCGGAAAGTTGAGAGAAAAAACAAAATTGCGACGAAGACGGGGGCAAGGTCCCACTAGCAACGGGATCGGATATAA